GGTGAACACTTGACCTTGAATAACCTTACAGACACGAGCGCACACTAGAATTACACTTTGGTACTCTGTAATCCAAGATGCCTTTTTATAAAAACATGCACACTTCTTATAAGATAAAGCGTCGCTCAAATGTACATCGCGCTTCCCTATTTACTGAAAGTTCGATTATGTTGGAATATGCTGTGCGATGAAAATTGGTAAATTGGATAATAGCATTACTTGTGAAGCAGGGGGCTATGATCAAAGTTAGTATACAAAAAAATAATCTATTCGGCATTTTTAACGTAAACGAAAACATCTAAACCTCACAGTGATATCACTTTAGTGGAAATTAATTACTTTGGCTAAATTTGGATCTCCTCGAAACGATAGCAATGTCAACGAAGATCTTTTCTCACGATGACTTCGCAAAATGCTTACGTTGCGAAACTTTTCACTGAACGTTGAACTTCTTTCTCATTCTGCCGATAACATGGACTGAATTGCGCAGCGAATACTGGCAGCTAAAACTCATTGCAAAACTTAGTGACGCATGATCAGTGATGACTTGGTCGAACGTCTAATTTATATCAATACGACTTAATACCCACACAGAAGTTGGATAGTGAGCTTTCCCAGAGGTATGAATTGATAGGAAAAGGGGAATTATAGCGTGGAACTTGAATAACTAGTGTAAATCATTGAACAGTGATTTGAACACCTGTCATGTCATAGAAATCTTCAGTTTCCTCTTTGGTCGGAAACAGCAAAGCACATTCTGAACGTGCACTTAGTATGAAATGCGAAGTACTTGCGAGGTGAACCAAGCAGTTTCGCTTAAATGATGCACAAAACAATATAAAACTGAAGTCCTATGTTCCAACTTCTTCTTAATAGATGGAAAAGCTAAAGGGTTAACGGATGACTGAAACGAAAATAAATGTTAGGCTTCATCGAAGTACTCGAAAAAAGGCTAACCGAACAGATTGAGTTGTGTTTATATGCCACAACATTAGCAAACATGCAGAGCATCTAGTTCCTGTTACGTTATAGTGATTGATAAAATGCAATCCAGAATTTGAAGCGTGCTAGTGTTTGTGACATCTTGGAAATGAGAATTACTTCAATCAGGACTAATTAATCAGGTTTCCCAGCTCCGGCAGTTTATGGCTGCTGCTCAGCAGAATCTACAGTCTTTAGCGAACTCAGAAATAATCATTTATGGAGATATCTTGAGCTAGTGAAGTAATCGAAGCTGTCCAAAAATTAACAAAAAGAAGTGTTTTTTAATTAATTCACATTGAAAAAGCGAGAAGGAATGTTTTGGATTGGTAAAGCTTTGAAACAATGCTCTTGAGGAACAGATAATGAAAAGTTGCAGATTGTGAAACAGAAACTCTCACTATTATACCCTAGACAAAGATTGAGAAACTTCTAATCAGAATCTGCGCCTGCTTACTATGTGAGCGGGTACATAAATAAGTGGCGATAGAGATAAATTCAGTATTCAGTCACATGCTCCTAATGGCAGTAGTAGTAGCAAATGCAAGCAGAATACAGTGTTCATAGCTAACAATATCTAATGACTAAAATTTTGAAATTGGTAAGTACAGAAAGTGATAAGTACATAAAGTTGATAATTAGCTTTGATAACGATGTATCAAAATAAAGGAGAAACTATATCATCTTGTACAACCTTAGTTCTTTTGGAGTCTTAATCTGTGACCTTCGTGCGCTTATCGCCACTAATATCGAACTCTATAAGCCGAACGCCCCGTTAATGTGGTCCTTTTGCTCGAGGGCGTAGATCTGACGGTATAAAAGGTGACAGCATCGACGCATTAGCACGACCATGACTGGCGACGTGAAGCACTGGGAATCTGAGGCACTCTCCCTCAGGAGAATAGCCTTTTTTGGTGTGGCCCTTTCCACCGCAGCCACTCTCATCTGCATCATCTCTGTGCCGATGCTTTACAACTACATGCAACACATGCAGTCGATCATGCAGAACGAAGTCGACTTTTGTAAATCCCGCTCAGGAAATATCTGGAGAGAAGTGACTCGTACTCAGGCAAGTCACAACACCAGAAACCCGAATAGCTCGTATTAAGTGCTCGTGTTTCAGGTTCTCACCCAGGCCTCCACTAGAACGCGTCGTCAAGCTGGTGGTGGTTGCTGCGGTTGCGGCATTTCTCCTTCAGGACCACCTGGACCTCCTGGACAAGATGGAGAGCCAGGAGCTGACGGACAGCCAGGACA